GAGGCCGGGAAGCTGACGGCAGGACCAGCAGAAAAACCTCCGGGATGGCTCTCCAGTGTAGGTGCAGCCAGACTCACCTCGGAGGCTGCCACGTCATGCCTCAGCCCCACACCCCCCCGGGATTCCCCGGGGGCAGAGGAGGAAGCGCCTGCTCATCCCGCAGGCAGGAGAGGTGCTCCCTTACCTAGCCCGGTGCCACATCAGCACCGCCACCCCCTCCCTCGCTGTCACGCACCCTTGCCGGAAACAACCCTCCTCTCACCCGCTGCAAGACAAGTACCCTTTTGTTCGGGGAGAAAGCACCTACCGCCCCTTCGGCTGCACACATGCAACCCCCGGCCGCCTAACTGCAGGAAACCTCCCTCCTTCCACCCACTTGGCGTTAAAATTTAATGCAGTTAAGAAATCGGTGTAAAAAAAAAATCACCCTTCTGCATGTGAGCTCTTTGCACAGCCCGGCAAAGCGTATCCACGCAATGCTCCGGGCTGGAAGGACCCTCGCCCCGAGAGATGATGCAGCCTCAGGGTTGATCTTCTCTGCCGGGGGGTCCCACTGCTGCAGAAGGACCATTCATCAGCGCTGCTATGGCCAGCAGCGGTGTGAGTCCGCGGCGAAGCTCTGGACCCTGGGACCCGCTCGGGGTCGCAGGCAGGAGCCAGTGCTGGGTCGGTGCTCGCACAACTCCCCTCGCACGGCGGCTGTGCGAGCAAGGCTGCAGGGATGCCCTCGAGTCCGGCAGCATTCACCCCTGCACGCATTCACCATCCCCCTGGTCCAGGGATACCGTGCGGTCAGACCCTCTGCCACCTGGAGTGAGCCCGAGCACATCTCAGAACAGAAAAGATGGATCCTCTGGAGTTTTAGCCATTACAAAACATGTCTCCCCATCTTTCTGTCCCAAAACAACACTGATCTTACCTGGAGGCTCTCTGCAGACAAGCTGGGGTGAATATTTGGGCTCTGTCTTTCCTGCACATGGGGAAGACGGGGTGGGAAATGCCTCTTCCCCCATCCAGCCGAGCATCAAGAAGAGATTTGGCCGCACATTAGAGCTTCTGGGAATTTGCACTCATTTCAGGATTCAGTAAAACCTTAATCTACAGCGTAATCTCTGAGCACCACATCTGTGCAAGAGAGAGAAAAAACTATGGGGGAGGCTGCTAAACGAGGTTTTGTAAAAGCAAAGGCTGCTGTGGGATGCCGGCTGCTTTTGGCCTGATGGTTTGCTTGGGGTTTTGGAGGTGTCTGAAGAGACCCGCTGAAATGCAAGATGCTGCTCAGTGCACAGGAGATCTCTCCCTCCGTTCCTGCTGCCGTCTCCTGGTTGTGGAAAGCAAGGACCTTGCCGGCAGCATGACACCCCCTTGACGTGCTCCATGCAGTGAAGGAGCAGCTCCGTCGCCCTCGGCCGAGGCTCTGCAGCTTTCCAGGGGGCTGCGGGAGGGGGCTGGACCAGCCCCTCGAGCCAGGAGACACAATCCTGTGGATTTGCATCCTGAACTCCCGCATGGACCCTCCGAGACGGGCGGACACGGGAGCCTTTCCCACGTGGGAACACTAAGACCCTTCTCCTCCCCCCAAACACCCATTCACATCCAACATAGGGTAACTTAGAACCACAGAATCATAGAATCACAGAATAGTTTGGGTTGGAAGGGACCTCTCAAGGTCATCTAGTCCAACCCCCTGCCGTGGGCAGGGACATCTTCAGCTAGATCAGGTTGCTCAGAGCCCCGTCCAGCCTGACCTGGAATGTTTCCAGGGATGGGGCATCCACCACCTCTCTGGGCAACCTGGGCCAGTGCTTCACCACCCTCAGCGTGAAACATTTCTTGTTACCTCTGAAGTTCAAACTATGCCACCAGGAGACAGACAGACAGACAGGACGTGCATAGACAAGTGCATCACAAGGTCGGGGCCAAGAAACCAAATGCCCCAAACCCCCTGGGCTGGATGGGGGGCAGAACCGGCCCAATTTTCCAGTTCCTCCCCTTGCAAAGGAACTGGGGTTAGGGTAAGCCAAAGCCTGCCGTGTGCTATATGTCCCGCGGGGAAGGATGCTGCTGCTAACTGAAAAACAGCATCCCAAAGCCAGCATCCCAAAGCCAGCACGTCCTGGTGCCCAGACTCGCTGGAGCTGCACAGGGAGGCGCAGGGCACGGGGCAGCACCGGCTGCTGAGTTACCCTGGCCCCACAAGGAGCAAATATTTCCAGATCCCTCCCGGAGATGTTAAGAAATCCCCTCTCAGGTGGGAGGGGAGGACCGGCTCCTCCAGCAGCTCCTCGCCCAGGAAGGACCAATGCAGCCTGCAGCCTTCACGGCTGATGCGGAGCGGGTTGGGCCTGGGGTGCACATCCTCACCCCAAACAAAGCATCTCCCAAAAAAACCCAAGCACCATGAAGAAGCTACCGAGGCCCAAAGCAGGGCAGGCCCACCGCGCCGCCGCTCTCCCCCGCTACGAGAGCTGAATCCCCCAACGAACTGATGGCGAGGTTTCCTTTGCCGTCGGTAAGCGATGTCTCACATCCTCTCCAACCATAATGGGCTAAAAAACACAGTTCCCCTGTGGATTCAGCCCGTTTCCTTCTATTCTTTAACAGGAAGCTCTGCGAGAGTCAGCCCAGGCAGGCAAATCACTCCTCGCCCTCTTGTCCCTCCCGGGATGGACAGAGCCTTAGCGGGGCTGCAGAGCCACAAGCCGCCGAGAAGATGCTGGCTCCGTCCGTCCATCCGCTCCTCTGGCTGTTTGGCTGCGTGCTGTTCCGAGGTGAGATGCTCCGCTCGCACCCCAGGGAGGGTGAAGCGGTGCTGGGCAGGGGGGGTTTGGGGAGCCCGGCTTCACGGGGGGCACCAAAGGGAACCGGCCAGAGATTCGAACATGTGGTAGCTGCCATCGAAAAGCTCAGCCTTTAAATTCAGGGGTGGCAGGAGTCAGGTTGCTGGGAAAAATGCGGCTGTACCAGGTTTACAGGGTTTGTTTGGTGGCACTGGAATAAAAGAACCTGTTTCCTGGTTAACAAAAGGAGTGTTTCTGCTCAGGGTTGCGATGCTGAGGCGTTTTGTAGTGACTTCAGTCAAACAAGCGTGAAGGTAGAACATTTAAATGTACAGGACATTATTTTCCTCAAAGGTATTCTTTCCTTGGCTGATTTTAATTTTTCCTCTCGTCAATATAAATACAAAGACCATGTGCAAGACTCGGGCAGAACATGCCTCGTCCTTATTGTAATAATTCCGTTCCTTTGTGATAATTCTGCTTTAACTTCTCTTTCCCACGTGAGTCGTGGTGTGGGATGAAGGAACCGGTTTCCTGCTCTGAAGGGTGACAGGTTGTTTTTTCCTGCATCGTCAGGCACCTCTTGTGTCGCTGACAGCTGTAGTAGCTAGGAGCTGAAAAGCATTCAGAGGAATATAGACTGCAACATCACCGCTGCTTCTAATAGACAACCACCTAAAAATAACGTGTCTCCAACCCAAAGTTTTTATCATTAAACCACAGAAGTTGCCTATGGGTTGCCGCCACTGTGCTGGTAGTAATGGGATTTTTAAAAGGCAGAGGATATAGAAACCAATTCAGCTGGTAGCTGTGTAATTCTGAGAAGCAGGAGCACATGGATTGGAAAATTTCTCTCTTCATTAGAGAGCAAGCAACAGAGGGCTTCAGCAGAGGGGCAAATTGCGCCCCGTATCATGCAAGGGGGCTTTGAGGCCCCTTGGCCATACCGCCATGCTCTTTAACGCCTGGCCAGAAGGCTGTTTTTCCCTTAAAACTACTTGGTGTGGTTTGCGCGGGACAGGAAGGCCATAGGGGTTGTCAGACTCCTCTGGCTCAGCTGCGTCATGCCCAGATC